AAACAACACAGATAAACAAACAGAGGCTGAACACAGTCAAAGACAAAATTATAAATGATGCTAAGAAGTTCTTATATTTGAAAATACTCAACGCTTTATCACTGCATTTCTAGATGTTTTTTCAGATAACTTTCCATAATTATTTATAAGAAACAACAACAAAATATGTCTATCTAGACACGCCTGCTAACAACAACAACAACAGCGATAATAATTATAATAATAATTATTATTATCAATCTTTTGTAAACTAATAAAAGAGCATATTTAGCTTTAACACCTGCAGGTCAGACCATTGACCACTGACCCAGACTTTAACTTCTGAGAGAAAAGACATCTTTAATCTAAAATAAACACACATGACCAATAACTGATGTATAAACAGACAGGTGGAAATAAAAATCCAGGTTCTGAATGTGAAACTACGGTACTACGGAGTGAGAACCACACAACCCTGTCTAGTTTATGTAGAAAGTGCTCAAGAGCCAACTTTGTCTTGTTCAGATGTGACTCACCTGAGGATTTACCTCATTTCTTCGACATGTGGGCCTGCCAGTGATGCATTTTTCTGACCGTTCCGCCTCCTCGACACCTTCTCCTGCCAAGTTGATGGAAAAGAAAACAAGCAAACAGGAGAGAAATGATGCCAAGACATGAGGGTGTGTTTGCTTGATATATTGGCATGAGTCAGGCTTCAGACGCTACAAGCCTGTTGATGCTCAACATGCATACTGTCCATCCCCCAACACACACACACACACACACACACACACACACACACACACACACACACACACTGACATGACATCAAGGTGAAGTGAAGGTGCCAGCAGGCATGACAGAGCTGTTCCCGGAAAACATGCACAAACCCAGCTTATTGTGTCAGTTACACACTCTTAGTAAGGCACGACAGGGCCTTAAATCAAACCACATCAACCTGACTGTGGTTTGTTTTGATAAGCTTTTTGATTTACAATATATTCACCTCCACATACTCAGAAATACTGCGTCAATATGCGTATGCTAATAAAGTGTAGCATTTTATGTGGTACAACCACAAACAAGACCAAGAGCACTGCATGATATAACACTATTGTGTAATAAAGTTTAATAAAGTATATGGTGAGGTGTTGGTTTTTTTAGCTAGAGTCTATGGAGAAATGTATGTAAGAATAGCACATACACATACAGTACATACAGAAATGGACATTTCTGAGCCAATGGTGCTGTACTCTACCTAAGGGGTCAGATGATCCACGGTCTCACAATGCTGGCAGCTTAGATACTTATAATCACAAATGCAGACACCTGGAACGAGTAAAAAAGAAAGGAAATAAATCACTGGGCTATGTCCAGACAAACTCATCACAATACACTTCCAGTGTATATAATTGTTTTTTAATTTTAATTTATTTAACACATTTTACCAATTTCAAGTATTTTTTAAGGAAAATTTCTTTTTACTTTGCAATGCACTATTATGATATGTCAGTATTTTACAAAGGTATATTCCCTTATAAATCATCAGTTTTTTCATATCAAACTGACTTGAAGTTTGTTACTTTTGTCATTTGTCCTTGTTAAACACTCTCGCCTAACCTACTCTGGAAATATTATCTCGTCCATTTTCCCCTGACAAAGAGAACAGGATGCAGCTTGTTTTATTGATTTGTTTGGTTCAGCAAAGCATTATGAAGTTTCCGTTGATGAACGCTAGATGGAGACAATACTGCAGCGCTCTGCCAAACTGTCCAATCTGTTTAGACTTCGCAGAGAATCAATAACGGAACAACAGAAATGATAGGAATGTAACAACAGTAAAGAGGTAAATAGTATCATTTGTTTCACGTGGTACTAGGGCGATGAAAAAGATCTGACTGTTGTGTGGGAGAATGTATCGCCATAAATAATAATAATAACATGCTGTGTCTGAATGCATCCATCAGATTTATGTAAGGTTGCAAATAAATGTGTCTCCTGCAGAGATTTAAGCGCTCAAGGTTTCAAAAGGCTTATTGGATGTTGCAATACTGACAGTGGGCATGCGACAACAATGATGCCAATTATTCACAGCCGTCTTTTTTTTTCTTTTCTTTTCTCAGGGGCCACAGGGTTTCATTCTTTTACGGTTCCAGTAATAGTTCATGTTACATCATTTACTCTGAGTGTGTTTCCTTAGACAATTACCTGGAGTAAACACATGTACAACTTCCTAACAGTAAAGTCACCATTCTTTTATCATGTGATTCTGCATCTACAGCAACAATACAGTGATCTCATCCTAAACATGATTTTGTGACAACACAAAACCCAACCACAGGTCACACACTACGTCGAAGCCAGAGGTCTGTAAGCCTTTAACACAAGAAACAAATATGCTTTATTATTTTACCACTATTTTACCAAAGTCATCAAACTAAGTACTGTAGTAATATTACAGAGCAGTATTGAATTATACAAAGTTTGTTGTTGTTACAGGAAAAAACACAACATTCCCAATGTTACATATTTCAAATGTATTTTGCTACATAAACTGTTACTACTGTAAAAATGTCAACGTCAAAGGCCCTTATTGGTCCCACAATGGAGGAATCCCAAGTGTGAGTCTTTGCAACCCACATAGGCTGTCACCTGAGACGCCATTAAAAATGTGGTTGCAACTCACAGGTTGGCACATTGGAGGCGCCATTAAGTATGATGTAGCTTGGCTGAGGCTCAAACCCTTGACATTTGTGTGTGAGGCAGGCGTAATAACCACTATACTATGGAACTACAAAAAAGACAGGAACGTCATGTTGTTTTGTTAGCACAGGCTGAAACGTAGTTGAGCTGTCTACTGTGTTTCCTGGCTGATTGGAGTGCCTGTGTTTGGAAAGCACAGTGAATTTGGTCATCCATTCATTTCACAACCCTTCTGCAGGGAAGGGCAAAAGTGGCCGAAGAGCCACAGGTTGAAGACCTCTGGTCTAAGCCTTGATTCACATCATAGTTGTTAGAGTGTTTATTTCACTATGATAGAGATGCAGATTAGTAAACATCAGAGTGTGTCCCCTCCTATGAGGTCAGAACTGGTCACTCACCTCTGTTGAAAATGCACTCATGTTTGAGAGAGAGAGTCTGCTGAACTGACGCTTGTTTGGCTCATAAAAGGTTTTCGAGTGTCATGAAAAAAATACTGAAGGATACGCTGACTTTGAACTGTTTTCATGTTCGAATCAAAACAGCACTTCCCTCTCCCATTATCTGTCCAGTTTAATATCACACCGACTCCATTAGGCTGTGAAATCTATTATCACATCTTAAGAACCAGCCACACGGTGGCAGATGTGTTTAACTTTATACCGGTTCTGCTGGTTCCACGTTGACGGCATGTTCTCCCTCAGTGTACGTGGGTTTTCTCTAACTACTGCGGTTTGCTGCCAAAGTCAAATATATGTAGTACATGCAGTACTAGTATTAATTAGTCATTCCAAAAGGACTATGCAGTAAGTGTACGTCATATGTGTGACTGGATGTTTGTCTCTATAGGTGACCGTGTGATTGACATACCGTCCTGTACAGATGGCTGCCAGAGAGGAACGAAGTCGAACGAATTAATCTAAAGTACTACAAAATAAAGAACGGTGGAAAAATAATGAAGGGAAACCGACCTGGTAATGCGAGGCTGCGTCAGTCATTACCAGAGAAAGTGTGTGTGCTTGGGTTCCAGCTGACTGTGGTGTAAAAGTGCGATGGTGACACTTTGACAGGATGACACATCCACCAACTGTGAATTAGCTGCTGGGCTGTGACTGAGTTCACAGATACTGTGGATAAACTGAGCAAAGAGGAAGGCAGTGAAGGCATCACGGTGAAGGGCCTTTGGTTTATGAATTTGAAATACATCGGAGCTGTGCGCTGCTTCTTCTTTTAATCTAGGCTTGCTTTGTTTGAAGTTCAGGTTGTTTATCTGCCTTGGCCTGGAAAGAAGCTGGAGAAGGAAAAAAAATCTGTTGATATGAAGCAGGAAATAAGAAAAGGAGGAGGATGAGAAGGAGGAGGAGGGGTGGGAGTTTTGACATTTGCTATTTTAGCAACTACTCCTCTCTGTGAGGGAACGGTGGGGGCATATTGTTTGTCCTATTTATTTACTGCTGGCCCTGTATATTTTAGACAGGCAGTATGTAAACAACTATTTTTGTATTGTCATTCATTCCCTGCTGCTGCCTGCAGCTCAGCCATTGATTACTCTTCCATTTCAGCTTGGAGGACAGTCTGTTCTAATTAAGGCTGCATCATAAATGGAAGCAGAGCCACACTCTTTAAAAACACATAAACACACACCAACTCTGAGGCTTCTCCTAAAATGTCCACATCCAGAAAGGAATGCCTCAGATCTTTGTGTCTCAGCAAAAACTGTACAAGAAACATGCTGTTTGTAGGAGTCAGCACGAACAAACGTATTAAAATGAATCTTCGACTCTTTGTCAACTCACGACCGGCACGGAACAAAACAACAAAACATACCGTACAGAGAAATGTATGTGTTTTTTTTACTGTTGGGAGAATCCTGAATATCTTACGTTTGCATCATCTGTTCATGTCTCAAACGTCAGCCGTGCTTTAGTGTGTTTGGTCGTTGTCTTTATCTGCATAAACTGATGTGCTGCATACATTGTGTGCTGTCAAATAGGTGAATTCATTTTCCTCTTTGATTGTGTCTGGTCCGTGTGCATGTTGCAGTGCGTTCACCTCTGAGGGCTGATGTACAACACTGCAGCTGTGCGCACTGACCGCCCTGCATCTGTGTGGATTTGCAGTTTCTCTGGCTCTTAGTCACATATCAGCAGAAGACAGCCTGTGGCTCTGTGACTGAACACTCACCACTGGTTGGTGGAGAAGCTGCTCTG